GCTCGGACCAGCAGACATGGCCACAAAGGCAGGGGGGCTGCAGTCGCTCCGGGTGGCTGCCCGGATCCTGGCCGAAGCCAAGGGGGCCTTCTCAGCAGCAGCGGGGAGAACGCCCCCCCATCGGTGTTGGGGATGACGAGGCCCCTCTCGGTCCCCCTCTACCGGAGCTCTCAGTCGTGCCACTGCATCGCCAATACCGACAAATGAAGGCGGATCACAACCTGTGCCGGCTGGAAGACCTGTCGGAGGTGGCCTTCGCAAATGTAAAGAGGAAGGTGCTCTACTCCTACATGGTCCGGTTTCACCAACAGGACACCCTGAGAAGCCACAAGGACCATGCCTGGAGGAAAGCCCTTCCCTGCGTCTCTCCGGAGAGGCCTCGCTGGAGGCAACCGCGCTTCACCGACACGTCCACGGAGTGTCGGTTTTGCGTAAAGTGGAGACGGTGGCGCACCAATACGTGGAGTGCAAGAGCCTGGACGCGCTGTTCAAGGTCCTGAGAAACATCCTCCTAAGGTTCAGCCTCCACTTCTCCCCGACGGTCCTCATCTTTAGATACCCGAAGGGCGACGGACCCCAACATCTTCAGGGGCTGGTCAACGTGCTCCTCGGCTACGCCAAGCTCGCCATATACAGGACGAGGAAGGTGGCCCTGGAGGGGAAACGTCCAGCCAGCAGCCTGGGCATCTTCCGCGCTCTGGTGGGAGCCAGGGTGTGGCTGGAGTTCCGCCATGCGCAGCTGACCCACGCCGTGCCGGCCTTCAAGGAGCAGTGGGCGCTGGAGGAGGCCGTGTGCTCGGTGGCAGATGATTGAGAGCTCTGCATGCAGATCTGAGCTACCCGTCGGAGGCCATTCGACTGTGGGAAGGGCTGCGTGCAGGTGCAGCACTTGTCGTAGTTCTAAAAAAAGAGAGTGAGCGAGAGAGAGCGAAATGGAGTAGGAAGAGATGGGGACAGAGAGAGAGAGAGAGAGGGGGTAGGGAGAGAGGGAAGGGGTAAGGAGAGCAGAAACAAAGAAAAAATATATTTTGTTGGGTCTTTCATTTAAAAGGGGGGGGGGGGGTTACATAAAGCAAAGCATAAAAACCGAAATGATGAACGGAGCAAAGTGTCGACTACACCGAGAATCTTCTTGTTTCCTCTGATCGTAAAAAGAGAGAGAGCATGGAGAGAGAGAGAGAGAGCATGGAGAGAGAGAGCATGAAGAGAGAGTGCACAGAGATGGACATCACAACTCTCTGCAAGAGAGACCTGGGTTGTTGCAGTGGCAGCCAGCTGTATGGGGGGCCTGCCCGGATCAATAACATCATCATCAAAACGTCACGGTGATAGCCAGCCTTGAGCGAGTGGCGGAAATTCTACATTCCTATGGCGGGGGCCAAGTGAATGTGTAGAACAACCACTCGTGGCTTTACCACGAAGGTGATACTTATTTGTATCGATCCCGGTGGGAGGGAGGGCGGGATGATGGGCCGAATCAGCCTTTCTTCAAGTAAAGGCCGACTCTGCTGATGAGACGCTGAATGGCAAAACCAGGCTATACACATCTGCCAATTGACCTGCATGAATGAGTTCAAGCAAGCCTGACGCTGCTGATGAGACGCTGAATGTCGAAACCGGTCCAGAGTGTTCACGCGTAATCTCGTGTTGCACCAGTGCTGCTGAAATGGAGGACTACCCCCCCACCCCCAGAAGGAAGGCCATGTGATTGATGATGGGACGTGTAACTGTTGCATTTGTTACCAATCATAATTCTTTGTTTATGTGGAAGGACAGACGCGGGGAGCAGGCGACGGCCTGGTGTCCTCGTGTCCTCGTGTCCCCGTGTCCCCGTGTCCCCGTGTCCTCGTGTCCCCGTGTCCCCGTGTCCTCGTGTCCCCGTGTCCTCGTGTCCCCGTGTTCCCGTGTCCCCGTGTCCTCGTGTCCGTGTCCCCGTGTCCTCGTGTCCTCGTGTTCCCGTGTCCTCGTGTTCCCGTGTCATCGTGTCATCATGTCATCGTGTCATCGTGTCCTCGTGTCCCCGTGTCCTCGTGTCCCCGTGTCCCCGTGTCCCCGTGTCATCGTGTCATCGTGTCCCCGTGTTCCCGTGTCCTCGTGTTCCCGTGTCCTCGTGTTCCCGTGTCCTCGTGTTCCCGTGTCCTCGTGTTCCCGTGTCCTCGTGTTCCCGTGTCCTCGTGTTCCCGTGTCCTCGTGTTCCCGTGTCCTCGTGTTCCCGTGTCCTCGTGTTCCCGTGTCCTCGTGTTCCCGTGTCCTCGTGTTCCCGTGTCCTCGTGTTCCCGTGTCCTCGTGTTCGTTTTCCGCGCAGTGGCGGGAAGCGCCCCGTGGCCACTGGCAGCGAGCGCCGCCTGGTGGCGCAGAGCGGCACTGACAAAGACAAAGCCCACCCTCGTAGCCTTCAGCAGACCGTTGGTGCAAGTGCTGTTAGCGAGTAGCACCTCGTGCAGGCCGGAACTGTGGCGCACGAGGGGGTGGGGTGGCCAGCAAATCACGCCCGGCCGCCTTTGTCTCCCCAGCGGGGCTGCTGTTTACGCGCCATACCACAGGTTCAGCGCCCGCTTCAGATATTCGTCAGTGCTCTGTCGGCCGTGAACGCCCTGGCCCCATCGAGCGCACCCCCCACCTGAAGCACTTTGGCTTGAAATGTCAACTTACATTGGCCCGAAACAAACGAGAGGCACAGGGGACGCGGGCGATGACGACACAATGCACGCGTGACAAAGCAGCAGCCCACACAGACACACGAGGCACGCAGACACACACACAAAGACACACGAGACACGCAGACACACACACAGACACACCAGACACGCAGACACACACACAGACACACGAGACACGCAGACACACACACAAAGACACACGCAGACACACACACAAAGACACACGCAGACACACGAGACACGCAGACACACAAACACACGAGACACGCAGACACACAAACACACGAGACACGCAGACACACAAAGACACACAAACACACGAGACACGCAGACAAACACACAAAGACACACACAAAGACACACCAAGACACACACAAACACACGAAGAAACACAAAGACACACAAAGACACCAAGACACACAAACACACGAGACACGCAGACACACAAAGACACACGAAGACACACAAAGACACGAAGAAACACAAAAACACACACACGAAGACACACAAAGACACACACAAACACACGAGACACGCAGACACACACACAAAGACATACAAAGACACGAAGAAACACAAAGACACACAAAGACACCAAGACACACACACAAAGACACACACAAACACACGAGACACGCAGACACACACACAAAGACATACAAAGACACGAAGAAACACAAAGACACCAAGACACACACACAAAGACATACAAAGACACGAAGAAACACAAAGACACCAAGACACACACACAAAGACATACAAAGACACGAAGAAACACAAAGACACCAAGACACACACACAAAGACACACAGACACACAAAGACACACACAAAGACACGAGACACGGCGCTCTCGAACCTTGGAACGGGAGCGGCGTCCTGGAGTCGTCAACGATCACCGAATCGTGGGACGAGGAATTGTTCCTGCGGCTTGAACCGGTAACCGTTTAAACATTCGGTTGTAGGTCCTGAAAGTCAGGAACCCCCCGGTAACCGATTCCAGTCGCATTTTAGCAACGAATGCTCGCGCCCGTCACGTGGCACCGTTTCCCAGTTCAAAGGTTAAATGCGTTGTGTTTATTGCTCGAGAAATGTCAACGTGTGCGGCTATAATACTCAACTAAACTATTTTACCAGATAAGGCCCACTGACCTATGTAGCTCTTTGTCAGAGGCGACCTGGCTATCATAAATGACAGCCCAACGAAGTGGCACATCGCGTGAGCAAATTTACAGCAGCCAAATACTCGAAACGCGTGTTTCAAAATGCCGAGGGAAAAACCGGAGGACACGGAGAAAAATCCACGCGAACATGGAGAGAGAGACACGCAAACTATACAGTAGGCATCGTCAGGGTCGGGATCAAACCCACGACCTCCTGTATACCTAGCGAGGTAGTTGACATCCTCTGGCCACCGCAGCGCCGACAGATTCCAACTTGCAAGGCGCCGCTGCCGCCGCCGCACGGTGTTAGCTCCCTCTTGGAGAGAAGCCGACTCGAAAGCACGTGGATCCAGACGAGCGGGATGGCAGCGGCCGTGTGGTGAGCCGACCCCAACAATTGCCCAAGCTCTGCGGTCCTCTATATATAAATCAGCACCTTTATCAGAGTCTCTAATTATACTGGAGGACTCCGATGAGCTTGACGGCTTTTTTGTTTACAGATGTCCTGTAGGGGCGGGTCAGAACGTTACAACAAACAATACAAAAACACACACACGATAGGAGTGCAAGGTATAGGAAAGACAAACAAATCATGATGAAGGTGTTATGAGCCAATTCAGGAGTAGTTTACACGTTGGAGGAGACAAATGACGAGCAGAGCGCTGGGCGGCTACAACGCAGCGAGTCGGCACAGTGGGGATGACTGGTGGTGCATCGGCCAGTCGTCCCAGTCAGTCAACCCAGTGACACCTGGGTCTGCTCCGTGACCTCCTCTGCCAGGCGGCCTTCGACGCTTCGCGTTGCCTCAGGGGGCACCGAGCATGGCAGGCGCCGTGGTGACGTCCCCGCCGCCACTTGGTGGTGAAATTCCGCGCACGTGGAAAAAAAACACAAAAAGCCCCACGCGTGGGAGGGTGGAAAGACCGTGGACACCGCCTCCCCCACACAGAGCTGACATCTCCTGGCGAGCCCGGGTACGGCTTCTTGACGCCCACACAAGGGTAGGAAGCTTCACAATAGTCGCGTGCGGCGATCCATCGACCCTCGCTGCTGCTTCCACAGCGCTGGGCGGGGTTTCCCCCATCACCTTGCCGGCGATGCAACAGTCAAATCCCCGAATCGTGACGCTGCCACCGCGCACGGGCGCCAGGCGCCAGGAAAGCGACGCTGGGAATTGCTGTCGTCGGTAGAAACTTTATTTTGAAATTCCAAACCTGACTCTTCAGCGAGCAAATAATATGGCAGGCAACCAGCCACTTCCACTCTCTTTGCGCGGGGGATATTACAGCGGGGGATATTACAGTGACTAACCATGGGCTCGCGCCGTAGCTTCACCGTCGGTTTAAAAAGAGACCGCGCCGCACATTCTCGTGGGGCACGCCGTGTGGGCGCGCCTACGCCAGTCGGAGTTTCCCCGACTCAAGAGTTCAGACTCGAGATATGAATTTTTTTGACTTGTTAGGTAACAGCAGAGGTGGCATTACTTATGCGGTTTACAATTTCACTTTGTGGCCAATAACAGTGAGCGATATAAATTTGAAATGAGCAGAGGACAACGCATTTACTCTTATTGGCCATGTAAATAAATCGGTACGGCTAAAGCTTTGCTACACCTTTGATGGTACCAAGTTGTGCGTGGCTCACGGACTCACCGCTTCAGTCCTCGTGTTCCACCGCCACCACCACCACTGCCTGCCTCGACTACGCTCACAGATTAGTCCACGGGCCAGAGCAGAAGTTGGTATGAAGTAAGGTGGCAACACTCGTAAACTCTCATAGTTCCAATGTAGTTGCATGGTTAATAGGGACGAAATGTATGATAGCCTGCTGATCTCAAAACGATCATCACATGAGCAACTGGTATTGGCTGTACCACCTCACGTGGTACCAACAGTGAAATATCTGGTCTGGGCTCATGGCCTACATCTTCTCTTTTTCAATTTCGTGCGAGCCACCAACCCTCTCCTCCACAGTGGCAGATTACAGGCCACATGCATATCAGCCACCACCGTGACACGCTGCACGAGCCTGCTGATTGGCAAAGACATCGCGCGTGACGTCCAGGGTACACCGGTTGAAATAAACAACGACCTCCACGTAGCGTCACATACGGGAGGAGACACGCGTGGACCAACACACGCACAGGATATCTCGACTCAACACGCAGGTATTCGCAGTCGATGTTATGATGCATAATTGTTTTTTTTATGGGTTACGTCACCTTAACGATCTGTGCCAGTTATTCTTTAACCTACCGGTGAAGATGAAACAATAATTACGTGCGCGTGAAAATAACGTTTGTATGTATGAACGTCTCTCGCACTGTACGTAGTCAACCGTGCTAATCGGAGGTAAGAGGCCAAGCGTGCGAGCATTTGTACACCGCGTGATCATTTCATTCGTTTGGCCGCGTCGGGTGGTGGAGGCTCTCACAACGGAAATATGGCCAGATCAATATGGGGGCCAAACACAGAAGAGTAACGAATCGGGACATCTGGAGTTGACTCGGCTCTGTTTGCATCGCTTGGACTCCGCGGTCACGTGGGGCATGTACACAAGTCTTAGACTCATTGAGATTATTGGGTTAGGCAACAAACGATCTGACCAACTTTCGGTCGGAAGACCCTCGACCACCCGGCATAGCCATGCAGATTAAATTGTCACGTGTACAATCACGGTTTCTCGCCTACTGGTGTAAATTTAAGGACAACTGTCACAAGAGCATGAGATAGCGGACGTAGCGAAGAAAATTTACTGCAAAAATATTCAATATCGCACGACATTTTTGTTTCAGAGGACATATGTAGACTTTGAAATTGGAAATGTTACCATGGAAATAAAAAAGAAATTAAAATCAAGAAATATAAGACAGATTAACTTGTGGAGGCCCAGAACCAGTTCAAATATTCGCTGTTACTGGTCGTGAGCAGGAATTCAACCCGCGTAGCCGGGTTTGTAGCGCAGTGCGCTAATCACTGCGCTTCTGCTCCCCACAACAGCTCCCCAACACACACACACACAAACATGCTCAAACACACATGCGTAGTGTAAGTCACACGGATACACTCGACATTCACAGAATGGCACAGAATGGCACACAGTGGGTTCAACTGAGATGAATCCATTAAGCATTGCGTGTCTATCATAACACTGGCTGCGAAAATCTACGTGGCTATGTCAACAAAGGTCTCCGTGAACGCGTGTTGGCGCATTTACCAATCATGCTGGGCTGGAGTCTGGGAGAACATGTTTTATAATGACATCTGTAGCGACACGCACGTACCCACAGATGGGGAGGAGGGGGCTAGCAGCACCAGGCTTAGTGTGTCAGCCTCCCCCCCGCCCCTTGTGCAAGCACTGCGATCACACACACGCGTGGTATGTTGGACACACCTACTGCCGGCTACTGATAGTCGTAATGCGCTGAAGGAAGCAAAAACAAATGTGTCACGGGGAGTTTCAGTTCGGTGCATTATTTTTAAAAGTAAAAACGACACCGACACTGCTCCACAAGTGTGAGAAGGTGGCAGCAGCGATGGCTCAAAACCATCAACAAAAACTTGTGCTTGAAATTATAATCAAGGCGCGTAGGGATCATTTAACATTTCAACGAGTACCACCGAGTCTCAAAACCCCTTTTTTCAGTTCCGCCGATTAGCGGAACTGAAAAGAGAGTCGATGATTATTCCATAAACATCGACTCTTTAAATCTCACGAAACGCCGCATTGAATCGGCGCGCGATTAAGACGTGCCTGTGGATCTGTACGCGTTGTATGTCATGGCTTCACACGGCTTCTCCAGCTGCCGGAGCAAGATACCTTCAACATGATGTGAAGGTGCGCGGGGAGGAGCGGAAGAGTAGCTCAATGTGTGGGGTTTAAACTCACAAGTGTGGCCAAAGCTCGCTTGCCATTGATAAACATTTGCGCATCTTTACGAGGAGAAACTGGGGAAACATTTTAATTATTGAACGATTTCTTTAAAAGAAAAAACCCAAGTCAACGAACTGCTCTTATGCCTAGACCTGTTTTGTCCAACACGAGTTTAAAGTTGAATTTATTACACGCTTTACGCTTTATCCCAATTATTATTACTTGTGCTATGATTATCATGATACAGCCATCTTTATTCAAAACTATACAGCTAGCGGTACATCACCCTGTCAGGGAGCAGCCACCGGAAGCAGATGCAACAGAACTACTCCTGAAGTCACAGACCCACACTCCGGGCACTCGTTGTATATGCCTCGCACACAGTGCTTGATGCAGGTCGATCAGACCAATATTTTAAAATCAGAGCTAGGAATCAGTGAAATTAACTGATAACGGGACAAGGTTGAGACCATGGATTGGCGGACACTTCAGAGCCCGGTGTAACGACGGGCAGCTGAATCTGGACGAGAACCCCGAATGAGTGGCGCTGCCTCGGCACCTTAAAACCCAGAGCTACCTCGCTCCTACATTTTGTCGATTAAAAGAGTGAGCTGGCGGCAAAAGGGGCTGCCGTCTGTCAGAGCGATGCAGTCACATCACCAAGTTGGATTGCGACGCAATGCGACGCGACTGGATCGCCACGCAGACGCGTATCGTTGCAAGCTCATTTCACTCGTGTTGATGAAATAAAGAATTCAAACTCGTGCATTGGCAAGCGCAGGATAACACAGCCTTGGGGATACGTGCCTACAAGACTAAAAAAATTTGCGCTTTTAAACGACTTGCCCCTCCACCCTTGACGAGGCGATACACGATTTAAAAAAATTAAAAGATACGCTCACTTCAAACAGCACCACAACCCCGCGCCATTAGGGCGCACTCCATGCAAGACGGCTCGCAGACCGGCCCACGGCGGGCAAAGGATGGTTGCGATGCGTCGAGAAGGAAACGAGACAAACGTCCGATCCGATCCTTGCGTCGCAGTGCACACATCCCACGAGTCGTCGCTGTGCGGCGCTGTGCTTTAAAATTGTCCACACGTCGTGTGTCTTGAGTTTTATCCACTGCAGGATGGCCTTCCGATACGGTCATCTTGTAAGTCCCACGACGCCACAGTCCTTATCGCTCGTGTGGGCGAGTCGATGTCATCGCAAGGTAAACACACGTACGATGCCACACACTGCAACTAAGATGTAAGTTGAAGGCCTTTGTAAAAACGTACTTCTTTTCCTTTAGTGGTTTGTGGTGATATTTTTGTTGAACCATGATCTCCCTCCGTTTACAAAGTCTGCCTTCGTAAATGGACGGGAGACCTCACCAAGAAAAGCAGGGAAGATCATTTCACACGGGAGGAATTACGTTTGCAAATTTGACCATTAGAAATACCCAACTCGCAAGCTCAGGTAAAGTCTAGCCAGCCTGTTAATTCGGAGCCAAACATCTCCAACCGCTTCTACAAAACGAGTGATGTGGATCCATGATGTTTCCCAAACCTTGAATCCACCACAAAACGCCCTGTCGATTTGTACACTTTTCCTCATTAAGTTTTACTTATTTATCTATCCAGGAGACCCACACCAAGCTGTCAAGACTCTTTGTAAGCAGGGTCCTGCTACATTGTTTTTTTAAATTTTAAGATGTGTTGAGCTAATTACTGTAACGATGACTGTTTATACAATTGGGAGGAAATCGGAGCACCCAGAGAAACCCCACGCGGCACAAGGGGGAGGGGAAACACTTTCCCCGGAGAGATGGAAAAACAGAGGCCGATTAGTCGGCTTGCTGTACTGCCTTTTCTTAAAACAAACCAGGGTGAAGACCCTGCACTCTCCCCTCCACAGCGCCGGATTTCAGGCCACGTGCATGGCCACCGTCGCCAGGCGTTGGTGGCGCACACGCTGCACGGGAAGGGTCCGATGAGTTTGTCGGGCGTAGTGTGGGGGCAGTAGGGCTGTTGTGGGGGACCCATCGTGAGAGTGATTCTCGCACCGCTAATGAGAGTCAACTTGGGTTGGACCAAAGGGACATTTCGTGGTGCGGGACCCGTCCCAGCACCTCCCCACCCTCCGCTATCGCCGACCCCGGTGCCCAGCGTGGTGCGTTCAGAGTAACGAAGGCTGGGGGACTCATGTTAGGTTCGAAAGCGACTACAACGGCACTCCACTTAAGAGAAAAGTAATCGCGAAATGCCCCCAAACACCCACAACAGTGCGCTCAACGGATATCTCGTGAGCGGGCACGCCCGCCACACTGCCTGCCATCGATCTTCTACAGAAACAATCAACGCTTCGCCGAATCCGCGCAAACCAGGAGATGCGGCTAGCCAACGCACAATAGAATCAATCAGAGATTCTCCTCTCTAATGTGTGGCTACGAACTCCAAGCTATGGGCAATACGGCGCACTGCCCAATACATGCAAGTGAAGGCGGTGGGGTGAATGTGTGTCTGCAATGCACCAACTTTCAAACACGGCAATTAAATGGCCAAATCACAACTAAACCCCGAACTGTTGCTCTTCAAAGGCCATACGAAAGCAGCGGCAGCGAACCAACGACGCGAGGGAAGGAAAGCGCCGGTCGGGACCGTCCGCTCTTCCTCCTCCTCCTCCTCGTCCATCCTCCTCCGCCGCCGCTTTATCTGTTCAGCCAGGTGCTCACCACGGCCGGGTCGGGCGCGCCTCCCGGCAGCGCCGAGTCCCCGCACAGGGCGAGGAAGCAGCTGCCCCAGCAGCTGTAGCAGAGTAGGAAGAGCGCCACCAGGAATACGAGGGCGCAGATCGTGCACGGCTTGCGCTCCAGGAAGAAGCTCAACAGGTAGAAGCCCATGAACATCGAGTGGCTGAACCACAGCGCCGGGTTCAGGGGCCTCGGGATGAGCAGCACGGGCAGCAGCCACTGCAGGCAATACATTGTCGCCTGGAGTCCCGCGGCGGGGGAGGAGGCCCTGCGAGGGGCCGGCTCGAGCTTGCGGGAGTAGCGGCCACTCGGCCCGGCTGCCTTTCCAGGCGACGTCGAGGCTTCGGGTCGGTGTTAGGCCGCAGCTAAAGTCGGCGGCCCTGGCGCACGAGAGGGTGAGGGACAGCGGGAGGGAGGCGGGGAGTTAGGCGGTGGTGGCCGGGCGGGCGTTAGACGCGAGAACGGGGTCGAGCGAGCGGAAAGACGGAGCCGAGTGGAATAGGCGGGGTCGCTCACCTGAGCGCGGTGCGTAACTTCGCGAGGGAAGCTTGGCGGCCCGAAATTACGTGACGTCACGCCGGCGGGGTGGTGACGTCATGTTAACCGTAAGGGGGGAAGAGGTGACGTCATCACAAGACGTGGCGGCGCACGAAGGGGGGGCTGGGAGAAAGGGGGGGCTACGGCGAGCCGCGGGGGACAAAACGCGAACGCGAAAATGCAACGGGAGCCGTAAAAAAGGTGTCCCGTGTAGCCTCAACAGGACGGGCCGGGCAAGTGCCGTTAGCGAGTAGCACCTATTTCAGGAATATTTTGATATTTTTTTTCCTGTATTTTCTGTTTGCACAGTCACAATCACTTTAAGATGTTTTCTTGTTCATGTTTTTGTTTGTTGCGGTTGCACCCGATTCAAGAGCCGAATGGCTCACAGGGCTATACCAAATAAATGAACTATGAACTAACCTATGAAGGCCGGAACGACACACGAGGGGGTGGGTGGCCAACAACACGCCAGGCCGCCTTTGTCTCCCCAGTGGCGATGTTTACGCACCGCACCAGGTGCTCATTTGAGGCTGAGTCGACCTAGGGGGAGGCGCAGGACCGGTTCAGACAATCGTCAACGACGATGCCCGACAGCGAGATTCGAACTCGGGTTGCCAGTTTCGTGGCGCTGCCCGCGGTGCGCTCGCCACTGCTCCTCCAAAAGCACTGACAGCGCCGGCGCAGCACGCGTGCGGTTTTTCCACTGGCTGTGCATCGTTCCGAGTCAGACCTTCGGTGATAATTAATTTCCTTGGGCTGCCGGGATTGCGGGAATAGCAAGCAGATGTATGCACTGATTATTGGGCGATTCAGACAACCCTGACTGCTGACGAGACACCCAAGATGTGGCGATATGTTAACTCCCTTTCCTTGTATACGGGACAGGAGGTCGTGGCTTCGATGCCGACCCTGACGCCTGCTATATATTTGGAGTTTGTGCGTGTCTCTCTTTCTCCGTGGTTGCGTGGATTTTTCTCCGGGTCCGCCAGTTTTCCTCTCTACATTTAGAATCAGCGTCACGCATTTAAGATCATTTGGCTGCAATAAATGTCCACGTAATAATCCACTTCGTTGAGCTATCATTTGTGATAGGTCGCTTCTGGTTCTTAACCTGAGCGTAAAAAAACAGGCTACAGTCTACATTATAGACTGCCAGTACACTCACTCAGATTAAGAACCAGGCTACAGTCTACATTAGTTTTTTTTATTTAAATTCACTTTATTTTATTTATTATTTTTCTATCTACGTGACTACCGAAAGAACCAAGGAATATAAATTCCGGCAGTCACGAAAGTTTAAAGTCAAAATTAAACAAACGCGTTGCCAGTCTGACGCCGCTTGGTTCGTGCGGCGCCCCGTAGCTCCGCGAGCGTCACGCTGGGTGCGTGGTCGCTGTTGCCGTCAGCAGCAGCGGCGGCAACGATCGTGGTCCTGGGCCTCCCCTAGGTCGACTCGGCCTCAAATCGAGCACCCGGCGCGGTGTTGCATCGACACGAGGGAGGCAAAGGCGGCCCAGCGTGGTTGTTGGCGACCCACACCGTTCGCGCGCCGTTCCGGCCTTCGCTAGGTGCTCGCAAACCACAGCACTTGCCCCAACATTCTGTTTAGGCTACACAAACACCCGTGACGATTATTGGTGAGTCCGTCCTGGGCCGCCCTCTAGGTCGACTCAGCCTCAAATGAATACCCGGTGAGGTGCGTAAACATCGACACTAAGAGAGACAAAGGCGACCGGGATTGGTGCTAGCCACCCGCAACCCTTCGTGTGCCGTGCCGGCCTTCATAGGTGCTGCTCGTTTCCACGTGCCCCGACAGTCTGTCACGTACGCATGTTGAACTTCTTTCGCACCGTACGTAGCCAATCGGAAGCCTACACGGTGCATCTGTGAGTGTAACCCCAAAGTAAAACCACGCGCAGTTGAACGCGTGCACACACGAGAGTGAGGCAACACACAGCGGCAGACAATACGCGTCCGCATATCTGTGGCCTACACGTAAAAGCAGTTGCTTTTACACATCCCATCAGCAGCTCCGTGCCCTTCGCGGAGTGCGTAATTTCATCGGCACTTGTTCAACAGAAAAGCAACACTCTAGAGCGGTTTTGATGTTAAACGTCTCATCAGCAGAGTCGGGCTGGCTTATCGGCAAGGATCCTCCTCTCTTACAAAATGCTCCTAGATAGACACGAAAATATCTGACGGTGTGTTGAGATCTGATCGAGACTGCTATTTTTGAGGTTGCAGTTCATCAAGGCTGATATTCATTTATCGAGGCTGCTATCGTTCGATCGAGGCCGCTATTGATTGATCGATCGATCGAGGCCGCTATTGACCGCGTCCGTTGTGGTTGGTCTGGCCCAGGTAACGGAGGAGCGCCTTGCGGGGGTCGCCGCTATGCCGGAGCCGTGCGAGGGTGAGCTGGAGGACATTGAGGACATCCTGGGGGAGGGCGACGAGGTGGGGGGGCGCCCTCCACGGCCCCACCTCGTCCCCCGCGCCCGCCGCCGGGGGGCTCACGCGACCCAGCGGGAGGAAGTGCTCGCTGACAGGTGAGCTCACCCCTGCTCACCCCCGCTCACCCCCGCTCACCCCTGCTCACCCCTGCTCACCCCCGCTCACCCCTGCTCACCCCCCCTCTCTCGCTCCCCCCTTCCCCGCTCACCCGACCCGCAATCACAATCCGCGCGAGCAGTGCACCACTGTTAGGCTGTCGCCTGATGAAGCTAGTTGTAATTATTGGCGAAACGTCGCTGAGTGAGGTTGCTGTGCGTGTTGCTGTGCGTGCTGCTGCTGTGCGTGTGGGCGTGCAGCATGATCCCCGGCACGCACTCCGTGTACGTGCGCACGTGGGGCTGCTCACACAACAGCTCCGACGCGGAGTACATGGCGGGGCAGCTCGCCGCCTACGGCTACCGCATCACAGGTGTGGTGCGCGGCACCACCCAGCTACCCACCAGCTATCCACCCAGCTACCCACTCAGCTACCCACTCAGCTACCGACTCAGCTATCCACTCAGCTACCCACCAGCTATCCACCCAGCTACCCACTCAGCTACCCACTCAGCTATCCACTCAGCTATCCACCCAGCTACCCACTCAGCTACCCACTCAGCTACCCACTCAGCTATCCACCCAGCTACCCACTCAGCTACCCACTCAGCTACCCACTCAGCTATCCACTCAGCTACCCACTCAGCTACCCACTCAGCTATCCACCCAGCTACCCACTCAGCTATCCACTCAGCTACCCACTCAGCTATCCACCCAGCTACCCACTCAGCTACCCACTCAGCTACCCACTCAGCTATCCACCCAGCTACCCACTCAGCTACCCACTCAGCTACCCACTCAGCTATCCACCCAGCTGCCCACCAGCTACCCACTCAGCTACCCACCAGTCACTCACTCAGCTACCCACTCAGCTATCCACCCAGCTACCCACTCAGCTACCCACCGAGCTACCCACCAGCTATCCACTCAGCTACCCACTCAGCTATCCACCAGTTACCCACTCAGCTACCCACTCAGCTGTCCACCCAGCTACCCACTCAGCTACTCACCCAGCTACTCACCCATCCACCCAGCCACTCTTCTACCCAACTAATCAACTCAATGACCCACCCACCTAGCTACACACTCACCAAACAATAGACTCACCCACCCACATACTCAATTACCTCATGACCCACTCGACCACCCAGCCAGCTACCCACTCAACTACCCACCAAGCTACCCACTCACCCACTCAGTTACCTGCCTACTCAACACCCACCCAGCTACCCACTCAATTACCCACCCAAAAAAGCTACAAACCAACCTGGCTACCCATCCACCAAGCCACTTAATCACCCACCCACTCAACTACCCACCTACTTAACTACCCTCCCAACCAACCAATTACCCACCTACCCAAATACCAACTCACCCACCCAACTCCCCACCCAACTCCCCACCTACCTATTCACTCACCTCCCACCCAGCCAGCCACGCGCCCATGTGTGCATGTTCGCGTGTGTGCGTGTGTACTGCAGACGACCCAAGTGAGGCCGACCTCTGGCTGCTCAACAGCTGCACAGTGAAGGGCCCAGCCGAGGACCACTTCCGCAACGCCGTGCAGTGAGCGTCGTCAGTGTCGTCAGCATCACCAGCATCATCAGCATCATCAGCGTTATCGGCATCCGTAACAGCATCCTCATCATCAGCAGCTCCATCATCTTCCTTGTCATAATCTTCATTGTCATCATCAACATCATTGTAATCGACATCTTCATCACTTTCAGCAGCAGCGGTGGCTGTGCTGGCTGTAGTAATGCGAGTGATCGTGGTGCCTGTTGCTGTGGTTGTGTGATTGACGGTGGTGGTTGTGGTGGCGGTTGTGGTTGTGCCACACAGGAAGGCCTTGGCTGATGGCCACAAGGTGGTGGTGTCAGGCTGCGTCCCACAGGCCCAGCCTCGCCTAGGCTACATCAAAGGCCTCAGCGTTGTTGGGGTAATGACGACCACTGACCCCACGCCGCTGCTCCCCCACGCCCCCCCCCCCCCCGTGCCCCCCCCCACCCCTTGCCCCCCCCTTACTCCCCCCCCCCGCCGCGTCTTATACTCCTGTCACCGCGTAACCTTTTCCTGCCGCGCTTACTCGACGTTTCTCTAATTAATTTCACAAGGAGTGGGTTTTGTCAGTCGTTTTGTCCAAGCCAACCTGCGTTACGGGACATTTACATCATGTTATTGATTCACGTTTGTGCACCATTGGCTATTTTGTAATGCGTTCGTTTTTGCTCTGATTTCGAAACTGCTCGTGTAATGTTGGCGACCGAGGAATGACTCTGTCCTGGTCTCTTGGTTCAAACTAAACAATCCTGAAGCTTGAAACCACTCGGGCTACTCGTGGGGAAGAAAGTTTTCAATCTGTGGACGTCACCTCGGGGAACGGTGTTGAGCTGCGTGCGTTTGCGCTGCAGGTGCAGCAGATCGACCGCGTCGTGGAGGTGGTTGAGGAGACCCTGAAAGGTGAGGCCCTGAAGGCCGACCCCCCCATCCCCCATGCTCACGACGCATTCGATTGTTCGAGGCGACACGCTTGGGAAAGCAAGCTCGCAGTCTATGATTTTGCACAACCCTTGCATCCCTCCCCCCATTCCCCACACAGGTCACACGGTGCGTCTGTTCGGGCAGAAGAAGGAGAATGGGAAGCGTTTAGGGGGCGCCCCCCTGGACCTCCCCAAGATCCGCAAGAACCCGCTCATAGAGATCATCTCCATCAACACGGGGTGAGGGTCTACGCATGGCCCCCCGAGCCCTCGAATCTCCCAGGCCCCCCCCCAAACCCCCTGAACCCCCCGGGCCCCCGGCCCGTAAGGGGCCCCGTGACATCATCGACACGAGCAGGCCACCGTGTGCAGGCGTCACGCTCCCATCAGGTGGCCGGGGTGTGGTCCCGGCCACACCCCGGCCACACCAACCCTTCGTAGGCGCGCTGTGCCGCCCTTCATAGGGTGTCCGCTAACAGCACTTGGCCCAGCAGGCCGGTGTGGGCGACAAGGGAGGGTGCTTTGTCTTCGTTTGTGTTCTTTAAGCAGTTTGAAACACTCAGCAATATTGTTCAGCTGTGTTTTGACAAAATCCACTCATTGTGTCACCGTGCAATCTTGCTGCCTTTTAAAATGCACCCCACCTCTCCCCTCCACCGCCACCCTCTCCTCCACTGCGCCCCCCCTCCCCCCACCGCGCCTCACCACGCTCACTCTCTCCCTGACGTTAAATCAGCCTAATTAGACAGCCGGTGCTGTTATCTGGACATCGCAGTGCCGCCCACCCCTCCCCCAGAGACACCCAGAGTGGTCATAGGTCGATACTGGGGGGTTAAAGGTCAGGCGCGGGATCACAGGGACCGGATCGATCAATTGAAATCTCGCAGGGAAGGGACACCGGGGTGGAGAACGCACCACTGGGGGGGAGGCGAGGGGAGGGAGGGTGGGGGGCAGGCGAGGGGAGGGAGGGTAGGGAGCGTGGCCCGCAGAGCGGCCCCGTTGACCACAGCTGAAGGGGACCGTGGGAACGCTGAGCCGTCCCTGGGGTGACGACGAATCGGAGCGACTGCCCCGGACGCTGCACTTTGGGGGGCCCCGCGGTGTGAGTCACCTCGGGCCCGCACCCCCCCCCTCCCCCCCCCCCCCATGGACGGGCCCTTACCCGTGGCCCTTACAGTGGCCCGGGCTGAGTTGTCCAATCCCGGGCCCTCCCCTAGGTCGACTCGGCACGAAATTAGTACTCGGCCCAAGGTGTGTACTGCACACATGAGCGCTGGGGAGACAAAGACGGCCGGGCGTGGTTCTGCTGACCAGACAACTTGCCTCGTGCGCCGTGCCGGCCTGCGTAGGTGCTGCTCGCTAACAGCACTTGCCTCCATAGCCTGTACACGGCGACATTGGGGATCTTTGTCTTTATATATATGCGCGTGTGTGCACCCGCGCTAATTGGTATGATCAGTACATGCGGAGTGCGCGGTGCGACGCGTGTTTGCCGAGTGTGGTGAATGTGGGTGTGAAGACGCGGTGAGGGTATGGTGAGGACGCGGTGATGACGTCGCGAGGATGCCAGCGCACGTTCTGTTGCCCGCAGGTGCCTCAACGCGTGCACCTACTGCAAGACGAAGCATGCCCGCGGAGAGCTCGCCAGCTACCCTGTGGAGCAGCTGGTGGAGAGGGCACAGCAGTCGTTCCAAGGTGAGTGGGTGGGTGAGCAATCGGGTGGGTGAGTGACAGTGTTGGGTGAGTAGGTGAAGCAAGTGATATATTGGTAATGTGGGTGCGTTGCTGAGTGAATGAGTTGGTGGCTGTGTGAATGGGCGAGTGCGTGTGTAAATTTTGACTTAAAACTTGTCGTGACTGCAGGAATTCATATTCTTTGGTTCTTTCGGTAAAGTCACGTGGATCTATCTACATGACTTTACCGAAATAACCAAAGAATATGAGTGCGTGTGTGTGTGCGTGTGTGTGTGCATCTGGCCTGGCACAAGCGTGACGTCACCGCCACTTAGTGGCAAATGGCGGTTGTTGTTGTTGTTGTGTGCGTCTGTGCATGCGTGTGTACTGGAGGAGTGATAGTGCAGTGGTTAGCGCAATGCGCCAACCGAGTTTGATTCCTGCTCACGGCCGCCAACGCCAGTGACAAATAACTGAATTGGTCCAGGGTCTCTGCTAGGTCGACTCAGCCTCAAATGAGTACCTGGTGCGACATATAACAAACATCGCTACTCGGGATACCAAGGCGACAGGACGCGTTGCCGGTTTCCCATTCCCCTCGCGTGCCGCGCCGGCCTTCATAGGTGCTACTCACTAACAGCACTTGCCCCAACAGCCCGTCAAGGCTACACGGGGGATCTCCGTCTGTGTATGCCACCGCGTGTTCACGTGACGGGCGCGTGCGTGCGGCACAGAGGGCGTGCGCGAGCTGTGGCTCACGAGCGAGGACACGGGGGCCTACGGGCGCGACCTGGGCACCGACCTCCCGACGCTGCTGTGGCGCCTCGTGGACACGGTGCCGGATGGGGCCATGATGCGGCTGGGCATGACCAACCCACCCTACATCCTGGAGCACCTGGAGGTGGTGATGCACGTGGGGCACGGGTGTGGAGGGGGGGTGGGAGTACAAGGCAGAGTGTGTGGGGGGCAGGCGCTCGCTCTCAGCACTTGCCCCATTGTGGGCTATATACGGGGGACCTTTGTTGCGTGTGTTTTGCCAACGCAATGGGGAGTGGTGGGGCAGCGGTTAGCGTGCTGTGCTACGAACCCGGCTACCCGAGTTCAATTCCTGCTCACGATTAAGAACAGTGGCGAGTATTTGAACCGGTCCTGGGCCTCCGTGAGGTTGATTCGGCCTCAAATGAGTACCTGGTGCGATGTGTAAACATCACCACTGGGGAGACAAAGGCGGCCGGGCGTGGTGCTGGCCACCCACCCGTATTGGCCTTCATAACTGCTACTTGCTGAAAGCACCTACCCCAACAGTCGGTTCAGGCTACACGGGGATCTCTGCACTGCGGTGTGCTGTGAGCAATGCCATTGGCCGACGTTGTTTATCCTCACAGCGCTGCACGGGCACGAGGTGCCGGTGACCCCTCCACCTTCAGTTACTGACAAGAGAATCACGGAGACGACGCACTGAGCTCGTACCGGAGACCCCGAGGGGACAGGCGCCCCTGGCGTCTGCTTGCCAAACCCTGTCTGGCGTAGCTAGGACGCTGAACCCCCTCCACCCCACAAACCTGCTCATCGCGGTTCCTGCAGGAACAGCAGGCACATCACTGCACCTGGCCGTGTGGAATGTCCGAACGCTCGCCGGGGAGGAGAGAGGCTGCCAATCCGCTTGTCGGGAGTTGGACCGCGACCGCCTGGACTTTTGTGTGATACACGTGGTCCGGTGGACTAGTTCTGGCTCCAGTCACCACGAGGGGGGGACAGTCCTCCACTAATTCCCACGCTTTTTCCTCCACTTTTTCCTCCACTTTTTCCTCCACTCACTCCTCTACACGGAGCAGGAAACTGTCAAACAGGAAATGGCTTTTCTTAAAATACACGCGTACGTCTACACACGCACGCATCTGCATGTGTATGTATACGCACGCGTGCTCGCGAGTTCACGCGTGTTTACGCGTCTGTGCGTGTTGACACGTGCGTGTGTGCGTGCGAGCAGGAGATGGCGCGCGTGCTGAGCCACCCGCGCGTCTACGCCTTCCTGCACGTGCCGGTGCAGTCGGGCTCCGACGCCGTGCTGTCCGCCATGCGGCGCGAGTACAGCGCCGAAGACTTCCGCCACGTCGTGCGCTTCCTGCGGGAGAGGCACGGGACGCACGCACACACGCAGGGACGCACGCACACACGCAGGGACGCACGCACACACGCAGGGACGCACGCACACACGCAGGGACGCACGCACACACGCAGGGACGCACGCACACACGCAGGGACGCACGCACACACGCAGGGACGCACGCACACACGCAGGGACGCACGCACACACGCAGGGACGCACGCACACACGCAGGGACGCACGCACACACGCAGGGACGCACGCACACACGCAGGGACGCACGCACACACGCAGGGACGCACGCACACACGCAGGGACGCACGCACACACGCAGGGACGCACGCACACACGCAGGGACGCACGCACACACGCAGGGACGCACGCACACACGCAGGGACGCACGCACACACGCAGGGACGCACGCACACACGCGAACACGCTCACGCGTGCACACACATGCGCGCACACACATGCGCGCACACACATGCATACACACGCGCACACACATGCATACACACGCGCACACACATGCATACACACGCGCACGCGTGCACACACACGAAAGACAAAGATCCACCGTATAGCCTAAACAGACTGTTGGGGCAAGTGCTGTTAGGGAGCACCTATGAAGGCCGGCACGGCACACGAGGGGGTGGGTGGCCAACACCACGCCCGGCCGCCTTTGTCTCCCTAGTGGCGATGTTTACACACCGCACCGGGTACTCATTTGAGGCTGAGTCGACCTAGGGGAGCAAGATCGTTCACTGGTGTTGCCCGTGAGTGGGAATTGAACCCGGGTCTCCAGGTCCGTAGCACAGTGCGCTAACCGCTACACTACTGCACATACACCCACACACGTGCACATACACACACCCACACGCGTACACACTCACATGCGCACATAACAACAGCCGCCGTGGCAGTGACGTTGCCACGGCGTTTGTGCCAGGCTAGGTGCACATGGAAACCATTACGTGAAGTGTGGAATGCTCACTGCTAGCAGGAGGTCACGGGACACACCCAGGTGCCATGGGTTCACTGACTGAGACGAGTAACAGATGCACACATACGCACACACGCGCACGCACGCACACACGCACACATGTGTACACGCGCACACTCGCTCATGGTTCCTTAGCGATTTTGAGAAATGCAATTTCTGTGAATGAAACTTTGTGTAACACTACACACACAGACCCAAAGAGACTTACAGAGGTCCATAGAGACTGAGACCCATAGAGACCCGTAGACTCAGAGGTCATAGAGACCCATGTATAAATGCTCATTAATAGGCTGAAAACATCTGAATATATAGAGGAGCACAGAGCTTGCGCAATCGTTGCTGTTGCTGTCTTCCCGCTCGTGTCTCTGGGTGCCGTGCGAGCCAGAGGGATGCGATCGGCACGAACGACGCCGACGGCCACACCGGTGACTCCGACCTCCCATGCCCACCTTTCCCACCCCAGGGTCCCCGGCATCACCGTCGCCACGGACATCATCTGCGGCTTCCCCGGCGAGACGGAGGAGGACTTTGCGGAGACCGTGCGGCTGGTGGAGGAGTTCCGCTTCCCCAGTCTCTTCATCAACCAGTTCTACCCACGGCCTGGCACGCCTGCGGCGCGCATGCCACCCGTGCCCGCCTACGAGGTCGCGACCCCCCGCCACACCGTGCCACCATCCCGAACGAACGGGCGGACGCACGGAGAGACAGGCGGAGACGCGGACACGCAGAGACCCAGACACTGAGAGACGCGTAGACGCAGATACGTACTGGCAGATACGCAGTGGCAGACACACATAGAGATACGGAGCCATGGAGACGCAGACAGACATGGAGAGACACGGAGACGCAGACATGAAGAGGCATGGAGACTCAGATAGACACAGGAAGATGCCGACAGATCCTGAGAGACACAGAGAGACAGGGAGACAGACGAGGATAAACACGGATAGACAAGAGAGACGTGGAGAGACACTGAGACAGACACAAGCGTGTCAACATTGTTTTTCTTGTTTTTTGTGTACACGTGTGTGCCCTCGTGTGTGTGCATGCTTACGTGTGTGTGTGTGTGTGCGCGTGTGTGTTTATGTGTGTGCCCTTGTGTGTGTGTGTGTGTGTTTGTGCCCTCTGTGCGCTTGTGTGTTTTTGTGTGTGCCCTTGTGTGTGTGTGTTTGTGCCTTGTGTGCGCGTGTGTGTTTATGTGTGTGCCCGTGTGTGTGTGTGTTTTTGTGTGTGCCCTTGTGTTGTGTGTGTTTATGTGTGTGCCCGTGTGTGTGTGTTTGTGCCCTGTGTGCACGTGTGTTTATGTGTGTGCCCGTGTGTGTGTGTGTTTTTGTGTGTGCCCTTGTGTTGTGTGTGCCCATGTGTGTTTTCACGCTCGTGTGTCTGTTTGTGTGTGCGTATGTGCACTTCCGCGTGTGTGTGCAGAAAAAGCAGAGAACAAAGGAGTTGTCCCAGCTGTTCCGTTCCTACAATACGTATGGGCACAAGGTGAGTGCGGAACGGCGCACAAAGATCCCCCGTGTAGCCTTCACAGACTGTTGGGCCAAGTGCTGTTAGCCAGCAGCACCTATGAAGGCCGGCACGGCACACGAGGGTGTGGGTGGTCAGCACCACTCCCGGCCACCTTGGTATCCCGAGGGGCAATGTTTGCACATCGCACCAGGTACTAATAATAATAGTCACTGGTGTTGGCTGTGAGTAGGAATCGAACTCGGGTCGCTGCTAACCACTACTCTACCGCTCCCTGCACTCGCACACACAACAAAAACGCACACACGATGGTGATGCACCCACATGCACACAGAGATACAGACGGACAAATAGACAGAAATGCAGAGAGATACAGGAGACACACGGAGATGCACAGTTAGATGTGGAGATACAATGAGATAAATGGAGAGACAGACACACTGACAGACATGGAGAGACACGGAGGCACAAAAAAATACGAGGAGAGCGCTTTGCCGTCTGGAGGCCCGCAGCACAGGGGGCGCCTGTATCTGGGGCAGAACTAATGCGGATGAGACACTCTCCTGCCACAGCTACGCACATGCACGCGTGCACACAGACGCACATACGGCAGGCGGTGTGTGTGCGTGCAGTGGGGAACGGTGGCTCAGTGCTAGCCACGCTGTGCTACTAACCTTGCGAATTGAGTTGGATTCCTGCTCATGGCCAACACCAGTGGTGATTGTCTGAACCGGTCCTGGGCCTCTTTCTTAGATCGACTCAAAATTCAGCACCTGATGCGATGCGTAAACATCGCCGCTGGGGAGACAAAGGTGGCCAGGCTCGGTACTAGCCACCCACCCCCTCGTGTACCATACCGGCCTTCGTAGCTGCTGCTTCTCGCTTAACACTTGCCCCAACAGGCTGCACGGGGGATCTTTGTTTTTGTTGTGTGTGCGTGCGTGCACGTTAGACTTGGGGGTTGGGGAGCAAGGCGCGTCGCCAGGGATAATCCATTCCGAGCGTTCGCATCGCTATCGGGAGAGGGGGTGCGGGAAGAGGGGCGCATTGGGGATTTGTTCTCCCGTGCGTGCGTTATCCTTCGTGGCGGCTGAACCGTGGTCAAATAGCGGGGGGCACGCCCCGAGGGGGGGGGGGGGGCAGCGCTGGGGGTGAGTGGGGACAGCTGCGGGAGGGGAAGGGAGGGGGGTAGAGGGGGGCTGTTGAAGCCGTTAAATGTTTTATTTTGTGAGTGCCTCGATGTGTTGTGAGCGGAGAGCACTTGGAATATCTTTACGCTCCGGCTGTCGCCGCAGTAGTGTTGGAAATCCGCGGAGCGTTCCGCCCGTGCCACTTCCCCTCCCATGTGACCCCCCCCTCCCACATGACCCCCCCCCCCCATGACCTTCGACTGATGATGTCTCCGGGGGCTTGCAGGTCGGGGAGCGGCAGCTGGTGCTGGTGACGGAGGAGTCATTTGACGGGCAGTTCTACGTGGCACACAACAAGTGTTACGATCAGGTGTGTGTGTGTGTGCCTGGTGCTCACGGCCACTGGGGAGACAAAGGCGGTCGGGCGTGGTGCTGGCCACCAACTCGCTCGTGTACTATGCCAGCCTCCATAGGTCTGGTAAAGACTACACGGCGGATCTTGTTTGGGTGGGGTTGACCGTGCGGTGGTGGTTGTGGTGGTTGTGGCGGTGGCCCAGGTGCTCGTTCCCCGTGACCCCGCGCTCATGGGCCGCATGGTGGAGGTGGACATTGTGGAGGCCGGGAAGCACTTCCTGAAGGGGCGCCCCGTTGAGCCGACCACCACGCCGCCGCCGGGCGACGCAGCGTCGCCCCTCGCTCTCCCACTCCCCCGCGGCGCCGTGTCGGGCCTCCTGCTCCAGGTGAGAGAGGTGCGGGAGTTTATGTTTTTTTTTATCACGGTTGCAGAGAGCCTGAGACTCGAATCTAAATAATGATTAACATTTGTAAGGCGCATTCCATCTGTAGAGCCCATGGTCAACACAACCACCACCAAAACATCCAGCGGCCAGTAACAAAATGCACCGTTGCGAACATCGTAAATGGGAGAGGACGCGATTTTTGAAGCCTGGTCATTCTTGCGAGGGACGGTGGGCGGTGGATCTGCGTGTTCCACCAACCCCTGCCCCCCCCCCCCCTCGACCCTTGCTGACCCCCTCGCGTGTCGCCCCACCCCTCCGCGTCGCCCCAGAGGGAGCCGTCGTCATGCCAGGCCGGCGGCCGCTGCGGGGGCGGTGAACGTGCCGGGGGGGGGTGCCCGGGGCCCCCCACCGCGGGCGACCCCCCGCCGGGGGCCTCCCTGCGGGCCCGCGTGGCCCCCGCCGTGCGCGCGGTGGGTCTGGCGCTGGCCCTGGCCGTGGGGGCGGCGGCGGCGCTGGTGGAGATCCGTCGCGCGGCCTCCTGGGCGCTCGCGCCCTCCCCGCACGGAGACTCGGCCGGGTGACTCCCTGGGGCGTCTCCGCGGGGTGACTTCTCGGCCGGGTGACTCCGTAGGGTGACTCAGCAAGGCCTTCACCTCCACGAGGGTGACTCAGCCGTGTGACTCAACCTCCACGGGGGTGACTCAGCTGGTCGCTCATGTGAATGAGACTGTCGTGGTCTCTTGAGTTCTCGCTTGGGTAAACTCGCTATACTTGAAACTGGAACTCACCTGCCTACTCACCGACTCCTTCACTCAGCCGCTACCCAACCAGACAGCCACTCACTGATCCAGGTCACCCTTCCAATCGAGACTCTTGTCCCTGCCTCCCGAGTCCTCGCCCGGTTGAACAAAGTAAGCTCCACCAAACTTCGCCCTCCGCCGCATTCGTTACCGCGGCAGCCAGAAGAGCGCTGGAACCCAGCGTTGGTTTAGATCGATCGCACGCCCTCCGATTTGCAGTCTGCAGTCAAAAAACAAAAACCCCACAACACCGTCCATGCATGAAACAACAACAACCACATCGGCGCCCCCCCCTGCTCGTGTGCCTTAGGGCGGCAGTGGTGTGTGCGATAGCTGTGTGCCTACCGCTGTGTGTGTGGTGTGTGCTGTGTGTATGGCAGCGTGCTGTGTGTGTGCGGCTGTTCTGCTGCTGTGTGGAGCTGGCAAAATAAAATGCCATTATTTTCCGCTTTAAAAAAAACTAAATTATGATTACGTGTGTTTATTGGCAGGGTGACTCACCGTCGGCTGGGTGACTTACTCGGGTGACTCGGCAGGGTGACTACTCACCGTCAGCAGGGACATTGTTTTGTTCAGGAAGGTCGAGCCGAGTCTAGGCAGTAGGGGGCGATGCTGGTGTCTGAGATGGCGCTGGAGCAGCCTTGCTGCCCGGGACTTGTGTCGTGTACGGGCCAGGCCTAACCTCCTGGCCTAACCCCGAGGCCTGCGAGATGCACGCGGCCCCAGGGCTGTGTGTGGTGAGTGTCTCGGTGAGTGTCTTGGTGAGTGTCTCTGTGCGGGGGAGCGGCGGTGTAGCGGTTGGCGCGCTACCAACCCGGTGCCCCACGTGCGATTCCTGCTCACGGCCACTGGGGAGACAAAGGCGGCCGGGCGTGGTGTTGGCCACCCACCCCCTCGTGTGCCGTGCCGGCCTTCATAGGTGCTCGCTAACAGCACTTGCCCCAACAGTCTGATACGCCTATATGGGGGATCTTTGTCTTTTTGTGTGTGTCTGTTCAACCCAAATTTAAAGCTTCGATGATGATGAACAAGTCAGATTTACAGATACACTCAAGTGCATCATTGTAACGATAATAATAATTACAACTCGTAACACTGCGTTCACCACTGCACGGGGTATCCGCTCCTCGCTCTCGTAGAGAGAGGGGGGACCACATACGAGGAGCGGGAAGGCAGAAGCAGCAGCAGCCACGCGGTGATGAGGAGCCGGCGCCAAGTTTCCCCCAAGCTCTTCAATCCTCTATATATGAAGGCGTTATCGGCCATATAATGAGCGTTTACACGTGTGGGAGCGAGGGGGCAACACTGTACCCCCCACGTACAGATGGAACAGATGGATATTAGTCCACACTTGGCTGTACCCGCCTTTTCCTGGGCGAGCAGCAACAGCAGCAGCGTAGCCACCACCAGTGCCGCCCGTCAAAGCAGTCGCATCACTCACAGGCCCTTTGGCTAAACAAGAAACGGGAGTGGGAGCGGCGTTGGCCAAACATCCTCAAAGTGCGGCACAAATCTCTCGGTTGGGATCGCTGCACAGCAGCAGCATCGCCCCTCGGCAGTGGACGCCTGGCGGCAGGGCTGGTGGAGGGGGAGTTGAGACTCCAGTGAGGCTTTCCTTGGGTGAACGAGCACAAATACATGAATCCGGCAGTGTTCAGCAACTGTTTGACGTTTCGGGTAATGAGACCTTTGCAGTGGTCACGAAATCTCACCCGTGCATCTCTCCCACGGTTTTACCCCCCTCCCCGCCAACCCATAACAGCAATGCACTTTGTTTATCCGGGAAAGCTTCACTGAGTGTCAACATTAACAAGCGGGCATTTCACATCCTTCCCACGTAAAAACAAAGTTAGTGTTTAATCATCAACCACCCAGCCGCCTCCTCCTGGGAGTGGCATCAATGTCGGTATCATCGGTTCTTCGACGCAAGCAAACATCTTCGGACCGGTTTCGACATTTGATGTCCTCATCAGCACCACCAGAGTCGGGCTCGCTTGAGCTCACGCTGGCGGAGCTCCCAGAGGGTCATGTAACGGATGCACGTCACGGTGAACGCGTCACGTCACGGTGAACGCGTCACGCCACGGTGAACGCGTCACGTCACGGTGAACGCGTCACGCCACGGTGAACGCGTCACGTCACGGTGAACGCGTCACGTCACGGTGAACGCGTCACGCCACGGTGAACGCGTCACGCCACGGTGAACGCGTCACGCCACGGTGAACGCGTCACGCCACGGTGAACGCGTCACGTCACGGTGAACGCGTCACGCCACGGTGAACGCGTCACGTCACGGTGAGCGCGTCACGTCACGGTGAACGCGTCACGTCACAGTGAACGCGCCCCAACCCCCTTGGTGGGCGCCCGCCGGCAACACTTTGCCCCGCAGCTCTCTGTCTCTGTGTCTGTCTCTGTGTGTCTCTGTCTCTGTGTCTCTGTGTCTGTCTCTGTGTGTCTCTGTCTCTGTGTCTCTGTGTCTCTGTCTGTGTCTCTGTATCTGTGTCTCTGTCTGTCTCTGTCTATCTCTGTCTGTCTCTGTCTGTCTCTGTCTCTGTGTGTCTGTGTCTGTCTCTGTGTGTGTCTGTCTCTGTGTCTCTGTGTCTCTGTGTGTCTCTGTGTCTGTGTCTCTGTCTGTCTCTGTCTATCTCTGTCTGTCTCTGTCTGTCTCTGTCTCTGTGTCTCTGTGTCTGTGTCTCTGTCTGTCTCTGTCTGTCTCTGTCTCTGTGTCTCTGTCTCTCTGTCTGTGTCTCTGTCTCTTTGTCTCTGTGTCTGTGTCTCTGTGTGTGTCTCTGTGTCTCTGTGTCTGTCTCTGTGTCTCTGTGTGTGTCTCTGTCTGTCTCTGTGTCTCTGTGTCTGTCTCTGTGTCTCTGTGTGTGTCTCTGTGTCTCTGTCTGTCTCTGTGTGTGTCTCTGTGTCTCTGTATCTCTGTCTCTCTGTGTCTCTGTCTCTGTGTCTCTGTGTCTCTGTCTCTGTGTCTCTGTCTCTGTGTCTGTGTCTCTCTGTCTGTGTCTCTGTCTCTGTGTGTGTCTCTCTGTCTCTGTCTCTCTGTGTCTCTGTCTCTGTCTCTCTGTCTCTGTCTCTCTGTCTGTGTGTCTCTGTCTCTGTGTGTGTCTCTGTGTCTGTGTCTCTGTGTCTGTGTGTCTCTGTGTCTCTGGCTCTGTGTCTCTGTGTCTCTGTGTCTGTCTCTCTGTCTCTGTGTCTCTGTGTGTGTCTCTCTCTGTGTCTCTGTGTGTGTCTCTGTCTCTGTGTGTGTCTCTGTCTCTGTGTCTCTGTGTGTGTCTCTGTGTCTCTGTCTGTCTCTGTGTGTGTCTCTGTCTCTGTGTCTCTGTGTGTGTGTCTCTGTCTCTGTGTCTCTGTGTGTGTCTCTGTCTATGTGTCTCTGTGTGTGTCTCTGTGTGTATCTCTGTGTGTCTCTGTCTCTGTGTGTCTCTGTGTGTGTCTCTGTCTCTGTGTGTGTCTCTGTCTCTGTGTCTCTGTCTCTCTGTGTGTCTCTGTGTGGTGGTGGTGGAGGCTGCCCAGGGGGTGGTGGGGGGAAGCCTTCGGCGTGCGCGTCTTGTCCTTTGCCTAACCCTCCCCCCCCTCCCCTCCCTCCCCTCCCTCCCCTCCCTCCCCTCCCTCCGGCGCGGCTGCGATTGGCTGGGAGGTTTAGTGCGGTGGAGGTTGGGGGAGGGGTGGGGCGGTTGGAGGGAGGGAGCGTCACGCGGGGGGGGGGGGAGTTCGAGGGGGGGGGCAATGGGAAGTCGTTGGGAGTCGCGGCGGTAGGGGGGGGATGGGGGGGGTAGGGGGCGAGGGAGAGAGGGAGGGGGTAGGGGGCGAGGGAGGGGGTAGGGGAGAGGGAGGGGGTAGGGGGAGAGGGAGGGGGTAGGGGGAGAGGGAGGGGGTAGGGAGAAGGTGGTGGGAGTGGATCGGGGGAGGGGGGTAATGGAAGGGGGGGGGTGATGCTCGATGGGTGGGGAGCGGTGGCGCAGTAGTTAGCGAACTACGCAGCCGAACCCGGCACAGGCCAAGTTGTGTAAACATCGCTACTGGGGGAGACAAAGGCGGCCGGGCGTGGTGCTGGCCACCCTCCCCTCGTGTGCCGTGCCGGCCTTGAGAGGTGCTGCTCGCTAGCAGCACTTACCCCTACAATCTGCTGATACTTCAAATATTTCGAGCTGTCTTCATTAATAAAGGAATAACAAATCTGGCCGCCGCCTGATGATGCCTGTTGTAATTACCGGCGAAACGTCGTACTCAGATTGTAAATGTTGTGGATTTGCTCTCCAACACTCCGGTGTGCTGTACCAGTGACGAATTGGCACGTTCTGTTTACGTGACAAACCTTACTAATTGGCTGTGTCGGGTGGTGGCGGGTTTCACGACACATTTATATATTTACGTGATCTAACCCAACAAACCCCCCCCCCTCCGTATTATTAATAACTTTTGTAACGCGCACACACACACACATTGAACTTTTAAAAGGGCGGTGTAGAGGCGCGTGAGAATTTGAGTGAAGTCTTCAGACGCCGAACGACAACAGAGGAGTGGCGTCCGCTCCGTCTGAGTGACGTCTCTCAGCCTCTTGAGTCACGTGAGGAACCCCCCCTGTGACGTCACCAACATGCTGTGGCCACGCGGGCAGCACGCGGTGGCTGCCAGTTAATGGAGTCCCAGGTTCAAATCCACCCTTATATTAATTTTTGTTAAAGTTTTTTTTTTCTAACTTGAATCGTAAAAAAACAAATGTAAACCGTAACATCGATGTTTTTTTTTACAATGCAATATTTTATTTTTTACAAAAAACATCGAAATGAATGTAAAAAAACGACGATGGCTTAATAACCAATAACATTTACCACATCCGCTACGCCCTCGTCGGCTAGGGGAGAATGCGGTTTGCTTCTGCAGCCGGTGATCCAGGTTCAAATCCCACGCTCTTTTTACGTAAAAAAATGTTTACGTGATGACGTCATCACGTTATTAAAATGTACGTGATAACATCACTACGTAATCTACCAACAGGCACCGCTGCATCCAGAACAATCACGCCACCGTGCGGAGCCCGACGTGTTTCTGTGAGGACGCGGGTGGCTCTACGCGATGGGAGACAACCCGGCAGTCTGTGGTGGTTGCAAGGTTCGAATCTCACCCGAGGACAATAATTCTCGGGACGTGAAACAAGCAAGACTACACGGTGAGTAGTTCCTATGTGATCGTAATGACGTGTGTGTGTGTGTCGCCATGTACAGCCCCAAGGCATTGTCGGAGATTCCTGGAGACTTGTCCGTGTGTCTCTCTGTGGTGTCTAATTGGCAGGTGCCTGGGACGAGATGGAGCCTCGGTGTGGGCGTGGTGGCGATCTTGGACCAGATGTGAAGGAGACCTGGAGGACAGAGAAGTGATAGAAATTCAGCTTTTATTTTTTTACCACTGGGGACCCACCACTAGAGGGCGCTGTTTCACCACCAGGGGGTGCTGTTTCA